TGTTATTGACAGCATATAGTTGAATCATGTTTTTTGTTTTGTTTTTATCCCTCTGCCAGCCTATGCCTTTTGATTAATGAGTTTAATATGTTGATATTTAAGGATCACTCATACGAGAAGAATTACTTTTGGCCTTTTGTTTTATGTTTTCTGTATGCATTATAGCTTTTTATGTCTTATTTCCCTCATTACTGCCTTCCTCTATTACTGCCTTACTTTGTGTTTAGTTGTTTTTTTATAGTGACATGTTTTGATTCCATTCTCATGTTTTGGGTGTATATTTTAATAATATTTTCTTTCTGCTTACCATGACAACTAGATATGATGTTCTAAAATTGTAACAACCTAATTTTAATTGATACCAACTTAACTACATACAAAAACTCTACTTCTATATAGTTATGCCCCTGTTTGTTATTGATATCACAAATTACATTTTTATACATCGTGTACCTAGTAACATAGATTTATAATTATTTTTATGAATTTATTTTTTAAATCCTGCAGAAAATAACTAGTGGAGTGTTAGGCTGAAGAAGTGGGAAACTGCTCTCATGTTTCCTGCTTCTTCATTCACAGCTGATTACAAACATTGCTTTTGAGCAGCCTGGGCTATAGGCTCTCCTTTCTGCCGTTAATTAAACTTAGCAGCCTGGCCCTGTTTGGGCAGAACAATGATAGACTCTCTGAAGCTCTGACTATATTTAGGTGAGGAATTATTGAATCCTCCCAACCCTTCTGAAAAATGGCACATGAGTAGGTGGCAGCTTCCCTGCTCACTTTCCTTCCTCAGGTCTGCTTTTTGTCAATGAACACACTTGTCTGTTTTCTGTGTGATCACTTTCGTGGCAAACCCAGCTTTTCCCAGCCTGCTCATTTGCTTTTTCCCTTCTGGAAATGTAGTTTGGACCAGTGAATCCAGGATGAAAACAGGACAGAAACAAGAGTCAGAAAGAGAGGGAGAGATAGATGAAGGCAGTAGCAGAATTTTGTATTCCTTGTTACTGGCTCTGGGTTCCCTGTCAGGTAGAGCTAGCTTCTGTGCCTGCATTGATGATGCCTACATGATATAGGGCTTGTGAAAGACTGAGAGAAAACCTCTTCCTCTACCACTGATAACCAAACCATTACCTCTCCAGTGTGTCCTTTGTACTAATCATTGTCTCTTGTCTGGCCTTTAGAAGTGTGACTCTTCTCAGAAGTGTTAATATATCAGGCCTTCAATATTTTTAACATTCTTCAATACTTTTTTCTCAGTAAAATGACATAAGCACTGTAGGAATGCCAAATGTTTGGATCTATAAAGAACTAGGGTGTCTGGGCCTATGGAAACTATTATAGATGGGGGAGGGCTAGAACGTATTACCAACACTGTCCATCTTGTAGGTTGGCACAAATAGATCTTAACAATAATGCAGCAAGGTTTCTTGACAATGGTGGACCTGAATTAATTCTGGCTGTTTAAAATTTACTGCTTAAGGGTCTAAAATGTGGCTAATACCCAGGGCTTTGGGGACAGGGATTTGTTCCCTTCTATAACTGGAAGGCATAGTAAAGGGGGCAGGTTCTTTATGGACCATAGGCACCAAGACTCTTCTTGACCCAGTGACTCCACTTCTAGGAACGTTTGGAGGCACACACTAAAACATCTACTAGGACTCTCATAATGTTTGTTACTTATATTAGTAAGAAGTAGAAATTCCCTAAATTTCCAACATTTCCATCACGTTAAGCCTTATGTGGTGATCCATGTAATAGAATATGATGCCAACATTTAAATCACATTACAGAAGAATATTTAATAACAGAAATGCTAGTGACATAGCTAAGTTAAACAATTAGAAGAGAGGACAAAGCAATTTATATATTTGAATATATGTCTGAACACATGCATATTTGAAGCTGACTTTAAAAATATTCATGTATATGTAGAAAAAAACTGAAAAGAAGTTTTTTATTTTTAATTTTTTAAAAGTTTTTATTTAAATTCCAGTACTGTTGGGGCGCCTGGGTAGCTCAGTCAGTTAAGTGTCTGACTCTTAATTTTGGCTCAGGTCATGATCTCATGGTTTGTGAGTTTGAGCCCCACATCAGGCTCTGCGCTGATGGTGTGGAGCCTGCTTGGGATTCTGTCTCCCTCTCTCTCTGTTCCTCCCCTGCTTGCTCTCGATCTCTCTCAAAATAAATAAAAACAAACTTAAAAAAATAAATTCCAGTATAGTTAACATACAGTGTAATATTAGTTTCAAGTATATGATAGTGATTCAACACTTCCACACATCATCTGGTACTCCTTACAAAAGGTGCACTCCTTAATCCCCATAACCTAGTTCACCCCCTGCCCCACCTCTTGTAACCATCAGTTTGTTCTCTATAGTTAAGAGTCTTTAAATGTTCACAACTGGCATCTCTGAATTACAGAACTGTATACACTCATTTTATCTGTTATCCTCTTCTTTAGTTTCTAAGTTACTCAAATAAGTATTGGCCGCTTAAATTTACAAGCATATATGAATTTTGCAAATTTATATCCACAGTTGTTGAGTCACTAGGGAAAATGGATACTGTTGAATTTTGTGAATTTTAAAAGCACCCTGGTTTAGATGTGAAGTCATAAAAATGTCAGTGAGATTTCTTTTATCAGAAGGAGAAAAGGTCAGGAATATTTCATCAATATTTCATCAATATTTTCTACCTTAATTAAGCCAAAATGACTCTGGAATTTGTGTTTCTTGGGAAATCCTGAATCTTTTTTATGTGCAGTTTGTGAGTTTTCTATCCTCCAGGACAGCAGGTCAGGGGTCCTTTGCAATAACAGGGTCTGAAGGCCTCTCTGTGCTTCCCCTCTTTGCAAAAAGAAATTTACTTGGAACAATGGAAAATAATGTGTTGACAGTGTGAAATTAAGTTTTAAATTTCTGAAATATACTGAAATATTTATGGGAAATTTACTAGTGAAACATTTTATTTTTGGCTCTTTAGAATCATAACTCAATAATCAAAAGCCTAGAAACTACTCTCTGTATGTTTAACTACAATTATAAGATACTATGTGTACACAAAGTGCACTAGAAATGTTAAATAATGAAATCAGCCAGATGTGCCAACCAGAGAAAATACAAATATATTTCTGACTTTTCCCTACTTTGATTTTCTTCCTTCATGGCCACAAGGTGAATTCTCAGCATTGCACACTGTGGTTCTACTGTGAGCTGTGCTGACAGCCTGTGGGTAGTACTTTCCAAGGAGCAATAGCACATCACCCTTTTGAGCATTCTCTGCTCTTCAGAGGGTCAGTGGTGATTCTGAGCTCATTACTGATTTAATGCTTTAGAAAACTGTTTCATGGAGTCAAAAAGCCCTCTCATGCAAATAAGCCACAACTAATGGGATTTAAGTAATTCATTATTAAGTATTTAAGCACTTCCATTGAACTGGGTGCCACTTAAGGTACCAGATAAAACAAGATGGAAATGACATGGCAGCCATTCATAAGAGGCTAAGTGTAATAGAAATCATTGAATCAATAGCTAAGCCCCATGCTTTCCATTTATATGTCCTAATTTAGTGTGACTTATTTAGTGAGTTTTTTTTCTTTTATCCGCATTATACATCTGAGAAAATGGAAGCTCAGAGTGGTTAAATAGTGTGAGTGAGGTCATTGTAATGGTCACCTCTCCCAGAAGTGCTATGTAACAAACCACCCCAGGGAGTAACAGAAAACACTGGATATTAGTTGACTCATTGAAGCATTTCTGTAAATGTACCTGAGGCCCTATTCTTTTACAGTTATGAGACATGAAAATTTTAAAAGCCCAACTAATAGTGTAACCCAGTTTGAATAGCTAAAGGGCACTAATTAAATCCCTCAAATGGAATTAATCTTTTATCTTGTTTATTTCCTCTGCAAGTTGGGGCATCTATTCTATACCTTGTTCTCTGCCATGCTCTTCTCCCTGGCTGTTAAAGCCCCTGCAGACAGAGTCCTCAGTCATCTGTGTTTCCCATTAAAAGTGCTCAGGGCTGCCCAGAGGTGCCATTCAGACAACACTTGGTGGCCCAAGACAGACTCCTTTCCTGACTTTGGCATGGAGTGGTGGGTATTGTTAGACACAGCTTGGGACCTTGGTCTTATTTATCCAAGAGACTGAGTCTTATTGTCTGTATCACAAGTGCATGCTTGAATGAGAGGGGAAAAGGGGTGGAAATATTTTTCTTGGTTTTGTTTTGCATTTATGATCTGAAGTACTATTATTTCCCTGGGTGAGTGTTTCATGGCATCCACAGCAGCTCTGTGTTTCCTTTAGGAAAGAAAATGCACTAGTGTGTAAAATGACATATTACCAACAGTTAGGAATGCAAATTATTTCTGCAGCTTGTGGGCTCTGTTGTGCCTGTGCAATTATTTCCATATCAAAAGCTCCTATTTGGATAAGTTTATGGTGGCTTTTCCTCTAGTATAGGCCAGAACAGTGGAAGGGGGTCTCACACAGTGTGAACCTTTGCTTTGCTTCATTTGTGGCTTGCATAACCCTGAGAGACCCCTCCCTGCCATTTTATCATTTCATTTTGACCCCTGGGCCCTGACTTCTGCTTCTTGGAATTTTATGGGAAGCCATTAAGATATTTAAAATGTGTGATCTTAGGAAGAGAATTTTCTAAGTATAGAAAGGCCCATCAGACTCTGAATGGTTTTCTCCATGAAAAACTCTGTATGGGATGGCAAAGGCGGCTGGAATCTACTGTTAATGCTAAAGTATGCCTAAAAGTATCAATCCCACAGCATCTGGTTTTCTATGTGAGTTTCTGCTTTGCATTTCCAACCTGGTTTATGCTGGGGAGAAGAGTTGTTTCTAATTGTGTCTCCTAAAACTCCTGCTTTTTACAATTCAAGTATAACTTCTGTATGATTACTGAATCACAGGCATGTTCTTGGAGGTAGCCTCCAATTACCATTGTCTTTGTGTTGGTGATGCCTTTTCCTTCACTATGTCTTTCAGGTCTCACTCTTCTTTACCTCAGTTCTCCAACTCCAGGTCAAAAGACCCCTGCTTTACAGAAAATACCCCTTTGCTGGGAAATTCCTCACAAGAGAAAGGGTGAGTTTCCCCCCACTCTCTTCTTCTAAAATTAAGAAATCTCTGAGCATTTCCCTTGTCACTTATGCTAGAAAATTTCTTCCTAAGGTATGAATTTTTGTCTGACATGTTGTTTGGTCTCTGCCAGGTCTTTGTTAATTCAACGTAGTAAATATTCATGATTCTAGTAGTTGTATTGTGTGGCTTATGAATTTCCAAATAACCATGAGCATAACCCTGTAATGATTAAATAATACATGTGCACATTCATGATGTACACAGCTCTCATGGGCCATCTTACCAGGCCAGGGCTGTCAACTGGGGGTGAAGAAGATACTGTCCAGAGATATGTCTTTTGTTGTCACAGCTGGGGAAGGGGTACTATTGATGTTTAAGGGTAAAGGCCAGGGATGCTGCTAAACATCCTACAATACACAGAACACTTCCCCACAACAAGAATTACCTGGCTCAAATGACAATAGCAATGAGGTTAAAAATGTATGATGTAAGAGAAAACTCTACTTCCTTCAAGTTTGAAGGTCCTACTGGGGACAAACCATGATGGTTCTGAAATCTCTGAGCAGAGCTGATCTGGAGGATAACTTACTCTGTCCCCTAGAATGAAGGGCCCTGGCCTAGGTATCCAAGCTCATCTCTTCTTCCTTTTGTGGACAACTTTTGGAAGCCCAAACCACCTGCTCAGTATCCCATGATTCCCTATACATTACAAACTTATTGGCATTGTCATGGGCCCTTCCTTTCCTGCCCTCTGACCCCATGCATTTGCATCAGCAGGCAGGCTGCTGTGTTACTTGCACTCATCTCCCTCCAAGACTCTGAGGAGCTGCCCACCGTCTCTCCAGCCTTATCTGCAGCCTGTCTGCATGGGGGTGGGGCTTCATATTTTACAGAGTAAATCAAAATTCTTTTGGGTACTTGTATGCCATGTGGATTCCTGGTCTCACTTGCCAAATACTCACCCCATTTAGATAGGGTGTAGGAATGTAGATTTATCACCTCCAAGTTCAGAGACAATCTGGCTTCCTCCAGAAGATTCCTGATGACAAGCTGTGTCTCTCTAAAAGGTTCCCACTGAGCCCTTTGACTAGAGGATCCTCCTCCCCTTCTGGCTCTCCAGGGCAGTCTCATTCAACTTCAAAGGGGCTCAAATGTCACCTCTTTTATGAAACATTGGTCCCCCCCATCTCCCCACCAACTCCCTCAAGGGTTAATGCCTCTTCTGAGCTCTCAATACCACATTTATGCCTATACTTCAGAATATGCCCATATGTTCCATGGTTATGCCTACCAGCCTGTGTCTTCATCTTACATCCCAGTGTCCAGCACAGTCCCTGAAACCAGGAAGATAACTTATCTTTTCTTCATTTCTCCTAATAAATAACTTTGAAAACAAACACTTCATACATTGATTCCCTTAATGTTTTCCTTTGAATTACTTGGTAAACCATTAACATTATTTTATAACCCATGTTTCATTGGAAAAGCATAATGTGCAGCATTTGTACTGGGCATATGGAGTGCAGAAACATGCTCTGGGATGCCAAGCTGTGCCTCATGTCACAAAACCACTTCAGAGGAGCAGAACATGAGTCAGCTTTTGTTTCCCTTTTTTTCAGGGTTTGAAGGCAGGTATGTGCAGCTGATGGTACAAGGGTCAGAGCATGCTCTGCATCTGCACTGACCAGCATAGTTACCATGCATCAAGGTGTTATTCAAAGTCAAATTAATTAAAATTAAATAAAATAAAAAATTCAGTTCTTCAGTTACATACTTTCAGTGACTAATGAACATGTGTGACTACCTTACTGGATAGGGCAGAGAACACTCCTATCCACCATAGAAAGTTCTATTGTACAGCATTGTTCTAGAAATACTGACGTTAGCTGCCCTGTTGCCGCTTCTAAAAGAAGTTTCCTTAGTTCCAATTTTGGTTACAGTTGTATTTGTTCACCAGCTGGGGGTGGGGGGGGGTTGTGATATTATTCCTTACACATGAGTATTTCCTGGTCACAAACTGTATATTTTCAGTATTGATTAGTTTGTAGCACTGTCAGCATCATTTATTATTGTTACATATTGGTTTCACACAGCCTAATTTGCATCTTTGGGCTTCTCAGTATGAATAAGACTACTTTTTTTCTTGTTGTGAACCAGTTTGAAGGCAATTATGGGTATTCAGGAGAATCACAATGTCCTGTAGAGCTAGCTGGGCTTGAGAGCCATCATTTGTTTCTAAGTTCATGGCCTTTTATGGCAATATTGTGATCCAATGAGTATTCCAAGCAATACATGAAAACACTGGGCTTTGATGCAACCTCATTAGACTCAATTACATCTGTACTGAGCAGGTTGTTCAGAAGCCCAAAGATTCAACTAAAAGTCAATGGATATGTCTACATGTAATTTTGAGAAAAGTTTGTGATTCCTCTTGAATCATCCTTCTAGATATAGGTTCCATCCTTGGGATCATCTAGTCAAACACTAATGTTCTCCACTCCTGCTCATGCTCATGTACAGGCTGGGTGGAAAAGCCAGGTAGATCATCTTCCCTATAGCTCTATTATAGAAAGATAACTATATAGAAGAGGAAAGGTTTACACCACTCACTCTGCAATAGGACAAGTATAACAACTAGGTATTGAGAATTGCAACATAATCAAAGAGAAAGCAATTACCAAAATGAGCTGGAGCTGGTCTGAGACAGAAATAGCTTTATTGTAAAGTTCCAAATTCAGAACAAACTGATGTTTCTTGAAAGTCCACAATTCATTTTGAAGACTTGAGTTACCCCAAATGATTTTCCTTAAGATAAGTGTCCTATGATGTCAAGAAAGACATATTTCTACTAGTTGGACAGCACTAAAATGTCTGTGGTCCTTTTAAAAACTAGAATTGATTCCACATTTCACACTCACCACTGAAATGAAATCTTGTTTTGGAGATGCTACTATTTCTGTGAAAATAACTACAAAGTCTTGCTTTCCAGGTCATGGGGCATGCCTATTTGCCATCCAGAGTTTATCACTGCTGAAGAATCTTGGGGGAACAGCTCAGCTGAGTGGGATGGAGGATCTCTGCTGAGCAAAGACTTGGCTGGTTCCTCTGGATCTGCCTCCCAAGAGAAAGGGGAGCTTCTGGACAGTGCTCACATCAGGTCCCGTCTTTTGAAACTGAGGTAGGGAGACTTTAAGTGCTAGCACTGGAACAGGGGGCTGGTTGTACAGAGCATCCCATTTGTCTGGGACTGAACTGTGGTGGGGGGGTGTCTCACCCTCACTACATCCTTCCCAAGTGGCAGAGTGAAGATGAGGAGGAAGGGTTTTCATATTTGGCCAGGCTGCACTTTTCCTGGAAGATTTTTAACCTTTTCTCCAGTTCCTGGAAGATATGTAAGGTGACACTGCTAATTGGCATGGATCTGTGAGGCTATAAGACGGCCCAATTACAAACCTAAATGACTAACATCCTACACTCCTTCCTGTTTGTGATTCAGGGGTCTTCATGACCTTGAGGTTTGCAGATGGAATCAGTTCACTTCAGCAGTCCTCATGGTGTTTTAGAAGCTGATATGATCCCTTGAAGTTAGTGATAAAGCATGTTATTAAAAAGGTTGGGTGCATCTTTCAGGAAACTGTGTTGTTGGGCTGGGTGTGAGTTGGGAGCCTGAGACTGCGCACATGTGAGGAAAGGGGTTGGTGGTAGTAGTGGTGGAAAGGCTGTGCTCATGCATGTGTAGGAGGTCTTAGGCATGCATATGGGTGGGAGGGCTGAGAGCATTGTAGAGGACTATGCAAGCTGGCCAACTATTGCTGGAGCATCTTTACTCTCCCTGCTTTGTTTTCTGGGCTTCCATAGGTACATTTATTTAAAGGAAAGTTCATGTTGAGACCAACATGTTTGAAAGTGGCATCTCCAGGGACAGAATAAGGCTTGGGGACCCTGGTAATCAGGTTCTCATTCCAGATATGTTCTGAGGTAGCTGAGGGACCAGCAGAGTCAGATACCTCTGTGCAACTGTTCCTTTTCAACCTTGAGTCTCCCTCACTACAGCAGAAGCCTGTGTGGGCTTCTGCTAAGATGGTCTGTGGGAAACCTCACTGATAGGTGAGAAGACACTATGTATATATCAGACACTAGTGTTATTATTTGTCTACATTAGGGGAACTGTCTTTTCTGAAGCTATTTGAAGGGCTGATTACAAGTGTACCTATCTGTATGCCCAAAGTACACTTGACTGTTCCCAGAGAGGCCCACTGTCAATTATTCTATTGATCTTCCTAGCAATCTTGAGAGATAGATGAAGAAAGGGGACTTCATGGAGGTTAAGGATTTTGCCCAGGGTCATGCAACTTGTAAGCTGAGGTGGGTATGCAGGGATGTTACCCCACATTCCCCATTTGTGCTTGACTATGGAGATATCATTTCCCAGCATGCTCCCCAGCCATGTATAGCTTTTTTCATGATGACTGGTCTCAGCTGTCTGCATAGATATGATAAATATTTGGCCATAGAATCTGTTATGAAATTATGTGAATAGTGTGAAAGTGTGTGAATAGGGATCTGGTCCCATGGGCTACCAGGACAGTAAGCCCTGACATCCTTCCTCAACTGGTTTGTTCACAGCTCCAGAGGATGCCAGGTTCTTCAACTGTCCTGTACCATGGAAAAATTAAACTTTACTTTCTGTAATTGCTCTATATTCTAGGATTCATAGAATAGTTTCATTGAGCTTGCCACTGAACTAAAAATTTTAGTGCTATTCTTTTTAACAGGTCTAAAAAGTACCATGTATGATCATTAAAGAAACTTTGAAAACATATTTTTGTTTGTCAACTCTGCTGTATATGTCAGTTATGTAGAAAAATGTTTTTATAATAATGCCTCTTTCTTTAAAAAACTATCATTTTGATTTGCATTTATTACTATTTTTTAAATTTGAGTATGGTTGACATATAATATTTTATTTTTAGATATACAGAACAGTGTTTCAGCAACTGTCTATGTCATCCTACTCTCAACATAAGTGTAGCTACCATCTGTCACCATGCAACACTCTTAAAATACCACGGACTATATTCAGTACTATGCTGTAATTTTTTTATTCCTGTGTTTTGTTCATTCTATAACTGGAAGACTGTATTTCCTCCTCCCCTTCACCCCTTTTGCCCATCCCTCAACCTCCCTCCTCTCTGGAAACCATCTGTATTTATAGGTCTGAGTCTGCTTTTTGTTTATTCATTTGTTTTGTTTTTTAGATTTCATATGTGAGTAAAATCAAATGGTATTTGTCTTTCTCTTTTTGACTAATTTCACTTAGCATAATATCTTCTAGGTCCATCCATATTGTCACTGATGGCAAGATCTTTTCCTTTTTTATGGCTAAGTAATATTCTATTCTATGTAAATATAAATATAAATACACATACACATGCACCACATATTTTATATCCTTTCATTTATTGAAGGACACTTGGGCTGCTTCCATATCTTGGCTATTGTAAATAATGCTACAATAAACATAAGGGTGCATATATATTTTTGAATTAATGTTTTTGTTTTCTTTGGGTAAACACCCAGCAGTGGAATTATTGGATCATATGGTATTTCTATTTTTAATTTTTTTGAGGAATCTCCATACTGTTTTCCACAATGGCTGCACTAATTTACATTTCCACCAATAGTGCATGAGGGTTCATTTTTCTCCACATCCTTATCAACACCTTTTTATTTCTTGTCTTTTTCAGTTTTGCCATTCTGACAGGTATATAGTGATATCTTCTTCGATATCTTAAAGTGGTTTTGATTTGTAATTCCCTGATGATTAGTGATTTAGTGATACTGAGAACCTTTTCATGAATATGTTGGCCATCTGTATGTCTTCTTTGGAGAAATATCTATTTAGGTCCTCTGTCCATTTTTTAATTGGATTTGTGTGTGTGTGTGTATGTGTATGTTTGTGTGTGTGTGTGTGTGTGTGTGTGCATGTGTGTGTGTTGAGTTATATAAGTTCTTCCTATATTTTGGATATTAACCCCTTATCAGATATATCATTTGCTAAGGTTTTTTCCCTTTCAGTATGTTGCTTTCTGTTTTGTTGGTGGTTTCCTTCACTGTGCAGAAGCTTTTTAGTTTGATGTAGTCCTAGTAGTTTATTTTTATTTTTATTTTAGATATTTTAAAAACCTCTGCAATTATTAGTTTATTAGTGTCATCCAGGACTCAGATATTCAGTATTCCTACTGAAATTACATAAACAAATGCAAATGGAAAGTATCCAAGTCAAAATTATATAACAAAACATCACTCCATCACAAAATTGTGTACAATTACAAGAATGCTATTTTAAAACACTGGCACTTTAAGAGAACTATAATCTCAAAAACCACAAAATTGCCAAATTGTTCCCTAAACTGCTAAGTAGATAAACATGACTCTAATGAATGAGTTTGGGTTTCGTAAAGAAAAATCAAATTCAAATCCAATAGCTCCTACTGAAATACAAAGTTTTAAATGTCTTCTTCCCTCAGGCCTCTTTGATTTATATAAAGGAACAAACTACAATATAGGAAAATATACCAGATTTTAAGTGTGGTATACATTTTAGAAGTTGGTCCAATTAATTAAAAATACCTTTAATGGAGAGTCGTTTCCTAAGAAATCCATATTTAGATAAATAGGAGAAGACATTTACAGACAGCACTTTTTTTTTCCCAGAGCCTTTTCTGGGACTAATGTCAACAAAAAATTTAATATGGCAGTCTTGTATTTTAAGCTCACACTTTTGGGGATACATTCTCAGGTCTTCTTTAATGTGGGAACTGCAAATATAACTGCCATTACATGGTAATGGGTGTTAAAGAATGTAGAGTCCTCATGTAAAGATTAGAACATACTTTTCTCTTAGTCCTTCAAGGACAGACTTTCAAAATGTTTGATTCTACTAATCCCATGCTGTGAATAGACTGATTACTCTTCACTTTATATATGTGACTGGGCTATGTGAAATCTGTATCAACTGATCAAGACTGGAGTTTTAGTTATAGATGAAAACTATCTCAATTCAACTTTATTACCCTCATCATGAGTATGCAGGGTGTAGACAAAACTTTTTATCAGCTAACTATATGAAAAGATAAACACTGTAATAACCCATGTGATCCAAAATGGGCAAAAGCAAAAGACTAACTTCCCCTCAAGGAGAAAAATTTCAGACGTATGAAAAGGACAACAATACTAATTTAAAAATTGTATTTATTTAGAAGCATTCAGAATGTCAACAAAACAGCTGCAACTTTTTTTTTTTTTTGCAACTACAGAGTGGTATTCAGTTAACATAACAACTAAGCTGCATCAGAGACAACTGAAGATGAAAAAACTACCATTCCCATATATAACTAATTTGTGCTGTGCACAAACAAGAACCTGCTTTAAATTTCCATGCCAGGGGCGCCTGGGTGGCTTGGTCGGTTAAGCGTCCAACTTCAGCTCAGGTCATGATCTCACGGTCCGTGGGTTCGAGCCCCGCGTTGGGCTCTGTGCAGACAGCTCAGAGCCTGGAGCCTGTTTCAGATTCTGTGTCTCCCTCTCTCTCTGCTCCTCCCCTGTTCATGCTCTGTCTCTCTCTGTCTCAAAAATAAATAAACGTTAAAAAAATTTAAAAAAAAATTTCCATGCCAATTTACAACCCCCATACTGTACCAGACAAGGTTAGTGGCTATTGAAAATACCACCAGGACAGGGCTATCTAAAGACACATTAGGTAGTGTGTTAACTATACAAAAAAAGACACTCTACAGATTAAAAAAAAATCCTACACAGCCTTACATTTCAATTTTTTTCTTTAAAAGGAGTGAGTTGTATACAGGGGGGTTAAATTCTTTATAGACAAGAAAGAAAAAACTGTGCTAGAACCAACTTATTCATCATCATTATCTTCTTCATCTTCATCTTCTTCATCTTCCTCCTCTTCCTCCTCTTCATCTTCCTCGTCCTCCTCCTCTTCCTTCTTTTTCTTGCTTTTTTCAGCCTTGATGATTCCATTTTTTGCTGTATCAGGATTTCCTTTAGCTCAGTATGCAGCAATATCCTTTTCATATTTTTCCTTCAGCTTCGCAGCCTTTTTTTCATAAGGCTGCTTGTCATCTGCAGTGGTGTTAATTCCACATGTCTCCCAGTTTCTTTGCAACATCACCAATGGATAGGCCAGGATGTTCTCCTTTGATTTTTGGGTGATACTCAGAACAAAACAAGAAAAAGGCCGAAGGAGGCCTCTTGGATGCATTGGGGTTCTTGAACTTCTTTCTTGTTTCCCCTTTAGGGTGGATTAAGTTTTCATTTCTTTTTCATAATGGGCCTTGTCCACCTTTGCCATGTCTTCAAACTTTCCTTTATCTTTAGCAGGCATGGTCTTCCACCTCTCTGAGCATTTCTTAGAAAATTCTGAGAAGTTGACTGAAACATCTGGGTGCTTCTTCTTGTGCTCCTCTCAGCAAGTTTGCACAAAGAATACATGTGATGACATTTTGCTTCTTGGCTCCTTAGGATCTCCTTTGCCCATGTTTAATTATTTTCCTCAGCAAGCCACAGATTCACCCAGTGCCCATCTGGCTCTCACTTGCCCTGGCACTGTCTCTATCCCCAGTAGTTTATTTTTGCTTCTGTTTCACTTGCCTTAAGAGACACATCTAGAAAACTGTTGCTATTGCCAGTGTGAAAGAAATGACTGCCTATATTCTCTCCTAGGGTTTTAGTGTTTCAGGTTTCACGTTTAGATCTTTAATCCATTTTGAGCTTATTTTTGTATATAATGTCAGAGATTAGTCCAGTTTCATTCTTTTCCATGTAGCTGTCCAGTTTTCCAGAACCATTTGTTGAAAAGATTGTCTTTTCCTTATGGTATATTCTTGCTTAGTTGTCATAGATTAATTGACCATGTAAGTGTGGGTTTATTTCTGGCGTCTCCATTCTGTTCCATTGATCTGTTTTTGTGCCAGTACCATGCTGTTTTGATTACTATAGCTTTGTAGTATATCTTGAAATCTGGGATTGTGATATCTCCAGCTTTGATTTCCATTTAAAAAGGAGTTGTTGAATCAGATTTTGGAAGTGTGAAATGATTATTCATTAAATTAATTAAATCTAAGAGAATGCAAAACAAGACTTAGCCATTTTGAAAATATCAGAAAGGTATTGAAAAAGATGTTTCAACATGACTTTCTGCATTCTACAAACATGTGTCAAGCACAGACCATGTACCAGCGCCCTTCCACAAACAGAGACAGAGTACAAACACCCCAGAGCCTGCTCTTGAGGGCCGGCCAGTGGGAGAGCACACCTCAGGGCTGGGCAGTGATAGTGTCATTAGAAGATGAGATTCAGTGGGCCTGGGGATGTGATATGAGCAGAGGTGGAACTCAAAGGACTCTAAAGGCTTGGGGAGACTCAGATTCACCTAGGCCCCGAGAACCACAGGTAAGAAAGATATAATAATGATGACTGGGTCAGGACACTGTCAGGAGACCTCAGAGGGGGCCAACAGCATGGCCTGATTGTTAAATTATAATTGTTAAATTATAAATTCTTAAAAGACTCTGTTGGTACAACCAGTAACAGCACTGCAATTTCTTTTTTGAATTGTTTGGTTATGTCTTAGTCAGTGTGTTTTTTGATCAAATCCACATTCCTACTTTCCAGAAAACTTAGGGGAATATAATTGATAAATACAAGCCTGATAGCCCAGATAAAGCTTGTGTCCAGGAAACTCAGCCTTTAAAAATGCTAGTGAAGATCCTCCAAATTTGAATTTTAGCATCTCCAGCAAGAAACATATGCAAATACTCAACGTTAACTTTGCCCTCCTTTGTAACTTTCACCAAGCTGCTTTTTATGATGCCATGCATTTACAGGTCAGCAGTGTTTTCCTTCATACCATGTTATGGAAAGAATTTCTAACATGTGCTTTGAGATTGATATTACCCAAAGCTTCATAAAGGTGTCTGAGGTTTGGCAGACTAGACAGATGCAAATAGGACTGCTGTTGGTGTGACTTGGGGCCTACTTTTTCTCTTACAGGTGCTGTATACGGTGGCTGAAGGTTGCAAGCCTGTTTGTCTTTGTGGTGGTGTGCTCTGTGAGTACCACAGAGCTCTGCTGATGGGTCAGCAGAGCCATGGGGTGCCATGGGCTGGGTAGCGAGGCACCTGAGATATGGCGCTCACACTTTCTTTGGAGGAGATGCTGAGGGCATGTGGGATGGTGGGCTGAGGTTGGTGAGGGAGGCATCCCCTTAGCAATGCTCAACTGCTGTGATCCACATGTGACACAACAGAAGACCTGGGGACTTGGCTTTGCTTTATAGAAGCAGTTAGCTTACTCCCTGGGTCTAACTTTCCACCTCAAAGTGGCTTGCCAATTCTGTTTTCAACCACATGCAATAAAACTATTTGTGTTGGGATATGTCCAGCATCACGGGTGGCCCCAAGAATGTTTAGTGTCCCTTTGAGATGGTGCTCTAGGCCTCCATCTAACTGGGCTGCCCTGTTTGGGAGGGAATGAAGCTCCCTGTTTGCCCTTTTCTTGGATGCTTCTCCAATTCCACTTGCCCATGCATTCTAAGGGGGGACTGCAGAGCCATGTTTCTGGAGGTGACCTGAGTATGCCCTCTGACAGGAAGAGTCAGGTGTCTTGCTGCATTTATGTGGTTTATATCCTGATGTAGTCCTCGCTGGAATCACATTGCAGGTGCTCAAATTTTTTTGCCAAATGAGTGTAAGATTCTTTGTGCCCAGGTGTGCATATCTGTATGTGTACACATGTGTGTGTACATGCCTGGCTGTGTGTGCACATGTGGGTGTGAGGTCCCCTGTGTCTGGCTGTGTGTTTGTGTGTCTGAATGCCTGTGTGGGACATGTGGGTCATTTGTGGTCTGTGATCATTTTAAGATTGTATCTGTGCTTGGGGTCTTAATTCTGGGGGTGTATCAATTTTCAGCATTGACATAAGATAGTTTGTGTGCACCATTGCTGAAGACCCCAGTGGGTGGTTGGTGCATGCTGCTGTGACAGCATGTGAGATTGTGAGCAAGGATGGGGTGTGTGAATGGTGTTTCCATGACTGTGCAATGTAGATTCCAAGATGTGTGTGGCCATGGCTCTTCTATGTAGGCAGCCTGTGGTTATGGATCATGCTGAATGCTATATGACTGGAAACTTCACATGACCAAATGTGGCTGTGAATACTTATTTTTCATTATCTGTATCTGTGGACATGAATATTGGGGCTCTGTGTATGTGTGCAAGATTGTGCATGAGAAGAGTCTCCTTTTCTAAGTGTGACATATAGAGAGCAATGTTGCATCTTGAGCAGCAAGGGTGGTGCATGAAGTCAATACTGGCTGAATTGAATTGAATACCTGCAACCCTTTAAAAACCCATAGGGAGGGGAGCAGTGGCCCAGAGAAAGGAAGTCTATGCATGAAATAAGAAACAATTACATTGAACTCTGAAAACTTCATGAGTTTACTTTTTTGGCTACCAGTTTACCTCTTTACTTCCTATTCACATAAATGTGTGATTCTGAAGCTCCAGCTGTTTAACAAGGCTGGTGGTGGGGTGGGGACTGGGATTTTCAAGGAGAAGGAAGGGTGGGCCAATTCCCCCACTGATTTCTGGAGGTATGACCTGAGCATGTTGTTTAGTCTTAAGCCTTCTTCTGGGAGATAAAGTTTTGGTGATTTGAGGAATTTGTTTTGAACTTCTTTTTTTTTTGTTTTTTTTGTTTTGAACTTCAATAACAATCATCTTATGATCACTTCAATGTACTTTCTGATCAGGTATAAGCTGCTCTGCGAATTCCACAAAACATACTTTAACCATCACGTGGGTTGTGTTCCCTTTCCTCCAGTATGGGAAAACCACGTTTACCTACCTCTGATGATTTAATTTTGTGGCTGGGTGGTTAATCCTTAAAATCAACAAATATCAATAGTTAAGATCCATTATAGTGGAGAATAATATAGTGAATCAGAATTTTATATTTTAATATCTAAGAAAAACTATTTAGAGTGAGCTGGTGAATATTGGATACATCAGTCAACACCATTATCATACCCATATTTTCAAATTTTATCAAAATTATTTAAATCCTATTGTTTTTCTGCTATAAATCTATCATTAAATGTTTCTGATTGTTACAGATTTTATTCAGCCTGTATCCAGATCAAGGAAAGTTCTGGCAGTTGTTGGCTGTGTCACCCCTGCAAAGCTACTGTATCCAGTCTGTAGACTGCAAAGGATAGTTGTCCATGGTTGAGATTCACAGAGACACCAGAGAACTATTACAACTGTTACTGAAGGTCACAGCATAGGTGATCACTGTTCCTCTCATGAGTATTGTGTTCCTCTAGGACATTGAAAAAATTTCTTTTAAAGTTCACGTATTTATTTTTGAGAGAGAGCACACATAAACTGGGGAGAGGCAAAGAGAGAGGGAGAGGGAGAATCAGAAGCAGGCTCTGTGCACTGTCAGCATGGAGCCTGATGTGGGGCTCAATCTCATGAACCGTGAGACCATGACCGGAGCCGAAATCAAGAGTCTGCTGCTTAACTGACCGAGCCACCCAGGCACCCCTTACTGCAGGACATGTGATGAAACATGAGGCCAGAACAGAAGACAAGAGAAGCACTAGTGAGACTGTGATGGATAGCTGGTGGTGAGGTTCCTCCTGGGGTGATGATGATAGCCAACTGGCACATTCCAGTTAGGGCCTGGCTCCCCTGGGCTCTTGGATACTCTGATTTGTATCCCTACCCATTTCCTTTTGCATTTCAGCTTAGGTGGTTTCTAATGACCTATATTTTTCTTTTCTTTTTTCTTTTCTTTTCTTTTCTTTTCTTTTCTTTTCTTTTCTTTTCTTTTC